ACTAAAATATATTTAAAGATATTTAAGGTGTGTTTATAAGGCAGTTTGGATTAAAGACATGACATGTTGAGCAGACTGCGGCAGGATGATGAATTATTAATCGAATCAATATCGATTAATTTGTAATAATCGATCAATTAATTAATTAATGATGAAGTTAATTGCAATTAATTTTTAATAATTCGATTAAATCGAATTCGATAAAAATCAAATCATTTAAATTTTTAATAATCAATCAACCTGTCACAGTGACAGTAAACAAAATTATTGAATATCATCTGAAACGGGTTTGTTTTGTACTTTTTGGTGAGTAACTAAGATTCATTAGGATTTGGCACTATTTCTCTTTACGTCAAGATAATAATGAATCCAGGGAGAGTATAAATCAGTTTTCATTTTAAATTTGGTTTTAAATGAATCTCTAAGATCTAATTTGCAATTCTCAATTAATCGACTAATTAAAAGTTGAATCGGCTTGATTTTAAATGACTACCGGTAATTTAATTAAACATTCAACCGGTATTTAATCCTAAGTGACTGATTAAGAATGCGGAGTGTCACCACCCCTATTCATCCCATGGGTGTCGTAAGAACCGACTAAGGGAACAAACTATGCAGGATTGTCGTATCGCCTCGGTTTGAGAGGACTCCCTAACTGCCTCAGCCAGTATCGGAATCCTAGGCGTCAACATATCGAGCTTAGTCCAGTTTCGGGGTCACTTAGAGGGTAAGGTCAAATTGGCCTCGAAGAAGCTTGGTGTGCTGAACAGATCGAGGCTGTATTTTACTCCGGCTCACCGCCTCCAACTCTATAAGGTGCAAGTGCGGCCGCATACGTAATACCGTTCTCATCTCTATGTAGGGACACAGGGACACACAGTAGCAGACTCTCCCTCTGGACCGTTTCCAACGAATAGCGACCCGAATTGTCTATAGCCAAAAGATCTTCGATCGGCTCGATCCCTTGGCGTTACGTAGAAATGTAACTTCACTCTTCATTCTCTATCGTATATATCTTTTGGAGGATTTGTTCGGACTAATACCGGCCGCAACCTTCCGCTATGGCTCCACACGGCAAGACTTTCATCCTTACCATTTGGATAACTGGGGCTCCACTACTGGGCGCTTTTCAAAACACTTTTTGTGTGGCATAACCAATCTGTGGAAAAGTTATCGTCTGCGGAATTCTTCATCTAGCGGTCATAAATTGAAGCACTTAGGGTGTAATTTTGCATCATGGCATAAAAAGTAATTGTAACACTTTTAAGTATAATAGAAATCACCTGGCAGTCAAATTTAGATTTTTTTAAAGTCTTGTGTTATTTCATTGCCCAGTACAACTTGAACCGGTTTTTTTGTATTATGACAGGTCACAAGTATACTGGACCTGAATAGTTTTATACGGCTGGTTTTACATAGTTTTTAACATTATAGCACAAAATGGTTTATAAATTCTAGATTTCTACACTTCTTGTTCATTATAAACATTAAGTATTCCAGATATTCTAGCTTCCGTGAACTATATTTGTTCAATACACGGCACGGAGAATTTTCTTTGCGTATTAATTTATGTGTAGAAATTTTATTTTAAATCACCGATTTCGGCCGTAATTGCAGTATAAGTTGAACTCTCATTACTACTTTCTATACGTAAACTGAAAGCGTGTAATTCAATGAAATCTTTTTCACTTTAATTTTTGTAGCACATTGTGAATGCATTTTAACTTTCTTTTATGCTTTACAATCTTTTCACTTTATCATTTTGTGAAATGTCTTAAAACAATTATACAAATAATTCTCTACACTTAATAATATGATAAATATGTGAAGAATAAGGTGGTTTTTATACAAAAGTTGACCAGGCGGCGCTCAAAGACCTTGTCCTCGGAGGGGGCAACTCAAAGGGCGGCAGCTCACTTGTGAAACTTCAATTGCATTTGCCATCAGGTGAACCGTTTCCTAGTTTTGATAAATCATAAAAAAGGCGGGGTGATCATGATCAGGCCTGACGGACCACTTTCCAACGGATGATGTTAGGCAGTTGTAGAACTATCATGGTGCGATGCAAGATGAGTAATTACTTTGTAGTTCTTTGTCTTCGTAAGCTGACAGTAAAGTATGTTTATTTTTAGTTGTATTTATAAGTCATCACAAATATATTATTATTGTTTAATATATTAAAACGAAGTCATTAGTCGATGTACAATACGCCTATTAATCTTAGCAACATGTACTCGTATACTTAGTTGTACTAACTAAATATTCAATTTTATTTGTATAGGAGTAGGTAAACCGTACAAGACAAAATGACGTAGTTTTTTTTTTTTAAAGACAACACCCGCATTAGAATATATTCCATATCGCGGGAGACTTTACAAACATACATGAAACGGACACAAATAACACCCAGACTCTGAATAACAAATTGTGGATCACAAAAAGTGTTGTCCTATGTAGAGATCGAACCCACAACAGGGGTTAGGGTCATCACGCAGCTTCCTACTGCGCTGAGAAGCTGCGTGGTGACCCTAACCCGTATAATTCTTTATACATAAAATCGACGTTTTTACAGGTCACTTAAACCCTTTTCAAAAGCCGATTTAAAAGAGGGAACCACTTAAAAAACTCTTAATCGTCGTTTCGGTAGTGTTCTTAAAACTAAGCGTTTTTATATGACCATTCACATAATAAAAACATAATAAATAACACAAAAGCAGGTCGTATAAAATGTAAATTAATTATAAAGCGCTATATACATGCAAATCCAATACTAAGTACGTATAAATTTTTGAAACATTTATCACACTGTTGTTTGCGCTATACATCCTTACGCCGCCGTGTGATAAACAAATAGTTAAATGCAATATATATTCAAGAATTGTACTCATATACATATCTAAAATTAGATAATAAGATTTTTTGTAATTGCCTCAAATTGTGTTTTAAATCACCTGTAAACAGAGAAATCAGTGGTGTTTCTGATACTTTTCCTTACAATATAATAATAATAATATTCTACCACATTCACACAACGCCATCTAGTCCCAAACTAAGCAGAGCTTGTACTATGGGTACTAGACAACTGATATAAATACATATATACATACAAAACACCCAGACCAACATTAAATGTTCAACATCACACATGTTAACAATCAAACATTAAATGTTCATTCATACAAATGTTTGACTTGAGAGGGAATCAAACTCGCGACCTTTGGAATAGCAGTCCGTTACACAAACTACTACGCCATCCGGTCGTCACTCGGCCATTATTAATATACAAGCGAGCAGACGGGTCACCTGCAGTGCTATTCTCTAAGGAAACAGCCTTGCGTACAGCGCTTCCACAGCGTCGAACTTCAAACTAAGTTTGCTCCAGCGCTGTAGCGTCGAATTTGAAACAAACTTAGTTACCTTGTTTCCTTAGAGAATAGCACTGCTGAAGGAAAGTAACTATTGCCACATATGAACACCTGCAATGCAGGAGTCAACGTTACCTGCCTTTGAAGTGGGAGTACGCTTTATTCTTGAAAGATTGGAAGTCATATCGATCGAGAAATACTGCAGGCGACAATATGTTTTACAGATTAGTTGTACGTGGCAAATATTTTCTTGAAACGGGTACAGTGGTGGAGGTGGACACCTATCCCTATTTTAAACTACATGGTTATGTTACGTTCATACTATTAGACATCCGACATCTGGTTGCTAAATTATTGAAAGAATCAGAAGTAGGAATAATTGAGATATCAGTATTTTACATTAATAAAACAATGCTTGTACTGTAAAGTAGCCATTGAATTTCTTTATCTGACGTTAAATCTCAACTGCCTTGTAAAACTTCAATAGTTTATTACTTTTCTATACTACAGACAGTCCTCTTTAAAAATCGATTACTACTCTGCCTCTAATTTAAAACTAGTTTCAAAATACGTTAGACGTAAGTCTCTCGTATTAGTATATTTTACAATATACAGATATGAATAATAATATGTATACAAATATAAATAAATGTATGGAATGAAATATAATTTCTATAACAAAATCTTAAACAGTTAATCCAGTTTACCAATAAATTGATTCTAAAATCTAGAAAATGACTGCCTGCTGAGGTCTCGGGCTCGATTGGCGGGTCGGACCAAATGTTTGTATGATCTGCAAATATTTGATTCGGCCTTTGTGTGTAATATGTATGTATTTACAAAAACAAAAGTAAAAATATAAGTATTCTATCAGTCAATCTAGCTTTCATAGTACAAGGTCTGCTTACTTTGAAACTAGATGGCGTTGTGTGTCTGAAAATACTAAATGTCCGAAAAAATATTAATGACTTGTATGCGCCGTCGCCGATGGAGGTTCCATCGATCCGACCGGGTTTTGTGGAATCTTCTTTACCCATCAGTTTTTCTAGCAGGAGTCTTTTCTAGTGGCTTAACCTGCGTAGCTTTAGTTACAAAGCCGTCTGGTGGCGACAGACGACCAGTCTTAGCCATGCCTTGTAATAAATGTATTAATGTGACTCATACGACCTTTCACTTAGGTCATCAGTGTCATCTCATCTCTGTTTTTCTAGTGTCAGGTAGCATAGAAAAATAACGACATAGTACGGGTACGAGAGGCTTGGACGTTTCGGAAATGCATGAAATCTATTAAGGCCATTTGTAAAATTGTAATTGAAATTAAACAATTGAGTAACTTTGTAGTCTTCTCACAACACAATACCAAGATTTTTATTCTGAGTTGCCTATACCTCGATGGCACGGTTTCTCAGAAACAAAAACAATCTCAAGGTCTTACTTCTACTTTTTATTTTACATCAATTTCATCCTCTGAATCTTTAGACCCGCGTAAATATTGAGGGAAAAGGTTCAGGTTTCTTGTGGATCCATGGGCATTTTACGTTTAATTTTATTTAAAACTTAGCTGTTTAAAGTACAAGAGCCAAAGTCGTAATGCTATTTGGTATTATGCTAATCAATAACAGATATATTCCGCCATTAGTGATATTGTCTTGCTTCCACTCTGGCGCCATCTTGCAAGCTGCTGTGTGTATTGGTCCGGTATTGACGATTAAATTTGCTTGGAGAACGAACTTGGAGCACGGACTCCACCACCACCTCTTCTATATACGGTTTTCCTTCTGCATCTGGAATTGAAAAAAAACATTCATTAAATTCATTTATGTATTATATATTGACGGACCTGTGGGTGATCTTAGCTGCTAAGCCAGAGGTTGTGGGTTCGATTTTCACCCAGGACAGATATTGTGTGATGAGCTCGATCATTTGTTCTGTGTCTGTATGTAATTTATCTACAATATGTATGTATTTAGAAATATACAGGTATGTTTATCAAAAGTCTGGTTACCATAGTACAGGCCCTATCTAGTTTCTGATTTGTGACCTTATGCTTGCACTGATTTTAAGCACGACATAAATTTAAATAATATAAACACAAGGCTTGCAAAATGTTCTAGAACTGAGTAAAATGGCATTTTTGTGTGGTAACTTAGCTAAAGAGTAAACCAGTTAGTAAAAACTCATCTTCCCCAGGCTACTACTGGCCATGACATCCGTGGCTCCCTATTTCAAGCTCAAAGCTGGAACAGATTTTCAGACAATTTAGATTTTTTATTACTCGTATTAAGTATTTCCTGCTGCATAAAGGCGTATTAAGGCCCTGGTTCCGTAAAGACCCCGTCAGGAAGTTATATAATGAGGTATTGTTGCATGTGAGAATATAAGATTGAATAAACAATAGATTTATATTTCGAGGTTTGTATTTTGGCGTCATAGAGGTCGTCATAAAAACTCTCTCATGGCTGAGGTTGTTCGGTTATATACTACCGAAGAATTTCGGTCTTCCAATTTTCAAAAGTCCGAATTTCATAATACCTAAGAATTATAATGTCTATTATTAAAATCCACGAAAAATATTTTACCGAATGTCGTAAATGCGATTCGTTTGTTTGCTGACTTTCCGAAAAATGATATTCCGATTTTCAACACTTCGAATGAACTGCTAAAACTAGAATTCCGATTCAGTAAGTATAATATTCAGTTACGCATTTATATTTAAAATCTATAAGTAACGTTTAATGTAATTTAAAAACGTCTACTTTGATATTATTATTTGTGTATTAATTTTTTGTCTTGTTGTTGTGTCTACATCTTCTCGTTATATTTATACCTGTGTGCCATCTATTGTTATTAAATTCTTTGAGTTAGGTTAGGTTAGAATAGTGGCGGGGTGCTAGGCTAGAAAACCTCCCCGTGGTGCACCCTGGAAACGCTGGCGATGGTACTGTTTCCTCCTTGTCCTCTTGGAGGAGAGGATTATCGCCAGCGGCCAATATTCTAGCAGAAGAGGCAGCCGTTCATCGGCTCTCGGGCAAGGCCTGGTCCAGCAGGGTGGGCGTGTCTGCCGGTTGCCCTGCTGGCTCTTCGCTCTTCGGAGCATGGAGGAGGAAACCTCGGTAAAAAACCAGAAGGTGGGGCCCTGTAGGGGCCAATTTCTCCACTGGTAGCGGTGGAGAAAGGAGGACGGGCTCGGCGTGTACTGACACTACCACCGAGCAGGCAGGGGGACGTAGTCTCCTTGTCACCGTCGGCATATCGTAATCCCGAGAAGAGCGCTGTGGTCAAGTCTCGCGGCTCTGATCGGGGACGAGGGTCTTGGCTTAACCGCCCGGACCGCGAGGAAGAAAACCTCTCTAAAAAATTCCCCGAATCCCGTGTTCTGGTGCGTGGCCAGGGGATGCATGGCTGATGGGTAGTTCAGTCGTAAGCGCACTCCCAGCCGGGGCACTTGCGGACCCCTCGGTTGGGCATAAATTTACGCTTGCCCGGGTATTGGGGGATCTCTGCCCGGGTAGACCTTTAGTTCTCCCCCACTCGTGGGTTTAATTATGGCAAATGAAGAAAAGAATAACACAAACAAAGGATCGAAACCAACAACAACGACAAAGGCAAGCAAACTGGTAAAAGAAACGGTGGAATGCAAGGAGAAGGAGGAGTCGAAGAGGAGGAGTGGTGGAGTGGATCTGGCGTCCACTGAAGGCGAGGTGGTGTCGAGAACACCTATCTCGGTGGGGCTCCCAGTAGTAGTCTGTAGTAGACTGACTGCTGGGAGCCTAAGAACATCGGAGCGTCTTCGTTCCCGGTCCGCTGCTTCATCAGACGGTGGCTCCAGTGTGTCGATTGACGCACTGGACGCTATGGATGTTGAGTTCCGCGACACTGGGAGTCGCAAGCGTGGACGCTCCGGAGAGGAGGGTGCTGACTCCTCGCAGGACATGCTGCCACCTAAGGTGGCCGGCAGCCAGCGAGGACGGTCACGGACGCCGATCGCGAGGTCGCGTGCCCCTGTCCCCGTCCCGTCGGGCTCCGCCTTCTCTGGGGCGGAGTCTTACAGGCGTGTCCGAGCGGACGGCGAAGCCGTAGCGGAGGAGGAGATCGCGGATCTCCTGCTCAAGATTCGGGAGCCGGTGGAGGGAGATGCCCCCCGGGCCCCCGTGTCTGTGCAGGAGAGGGCGAGAGCCGCGGTGGACATTATAAAAAAGGTGGCCACCAAGTCGGTAAACCTTAAGGGCTCTTTTGTGAGGGCCCTTAAGGACTCCTCCTCCGCTGTGTCTGAGGTCGTGGAGGGCCTAGTAGGCGATGTGTCTCGCCTACAGGTGGCCAATGACAGGCTGACGGAGCAGGTGAACGAGCTGAGCGCTCAGTTCGCCCGCTTCCGGGCGAACCTCCCCGAGCGGGGGGCCCCGTCCACGCCCCAGCCTGTCCCTACCGCGACCTCAGGGGTGCCTGACGCCCAACTGCGGTCAATTCTTGACGTATGCTGGACGGCCGTCTGGCCGGTCTGGAGGCGGGACTGCCTCCTGCGCCGGTCGTGTGCCCCCCGCTCGCGTCGTCACAGCGGCCTGGGGCCGCGGCTCCGACTGCGCTCCCCGTAGTGGGAGGCCGCGTGTCCTACGCGGCGGTGGCGTCGGCCCCGACTCCACCGGCTCCCCAGGGGCCGAGGAAGGGGGCCAAGGCACCGGCCCGGGCGCCAGCCAAGGCGCCGGCCCAGGCACCGGCCAAGGCGCCGGCCCAGGCACCGGCCAAGGCGCCGGCCCAGGCACCGGCCAAGAGTAAAGCGGCGAAGAGGAGCGGAGTGGCTTTCCCTCCGCTCCCCACTCCGACATCCCTGCCGGGCCCCTCCGCACCTGCCCCCTCCAACGAGGGTTGGCAGGAGGCGAGGGGCTCAAAGAAGTCCCGAAGGCGGGCTAGAAGGGCTGCCCAAAAAGCGGCTCAAGCCCAGCCTTCACCACCGGTGACAGCGGCCTCGACTAAGAGGCCGCGGAAGCTGCAGCCGCCCAAAACCGCGGCTGTAGTAGTGACGCTGTCGCCGGAGGCGGCCAGTGGCGGGCTCTCGTATGCGTCCCTCTTCAAGGGGGCCAGGCCCGGTCTCGCCACTGAGTTCGGGGCGGCGGGGATGAGGCTGCGCCGCGCCCAGACGGGAGCTCGAGTATTCGAGTTCCCTGGGGCTGAAGGCGCGGCGACGGCCGATAAATTCGCCGAGAAGCTGCGGGGGATTTTTGCCACCACGGACGGTGTGAAGATCGCCAGGCCCACCAAATGCGCAGAACTGCGTATCTCGGGCCTGGACGACTCCATCACGTCGGAGGATGTCCGCGATGCAGTCATGGAGAAGACTGGGTGCACCGCGGACACCATCAGAGTCGGCACCGTCCGTCCGGGTCCGGGAGGCCTCGGTGCGGTGTGGGTGAGCTGTCCCGTGGCGTCGGCCAAAGCTTTGGGCGACGCCGGAAGCATTCTCGTCGGCTTCGTGAATGCCAGAATCACGGTTCTGGCCGCGAGGCCGATGAGGTGCTTCAAGTGCCTAGCCGCGAGACACACTCGCACCAAGTGCGAGAGCTGTTTTGACTGCAGCGGATTATGCTTCCGCTGCGGTCAACCCGGGCACAAGGCGGCAGAGTGCTCTGCCGCCCCCCACTGCCCGGTGTGTGAGGCGGGTAAAAAGCCCGCCAATCACATGATGGGGCAGGGGGGCTGCAAGCCTCCCCGCGCTTCTCGGCAAACGCCGGGGTCTAGCCTGCCGACCCAGGCTACCCCCCGACGTCAATATTGCGTCGACGCCGACGCCCATGGAGGAGGTTGTAGAGACGATCCAGTAATGGATCAAGTCTCCAACCTCCTGGTCCAGACGAATCTGAACCACTGTGCTGCGGCGCAGGATCTCTTCCTGCAAACCATGGCACAGTGGTCGATAGGTGTTGCCGTAGTCGCGGAGCCCTATTTTGTCCCTCCCCGTCCAAACTGGATGGGTGACCGGGACGGCTCCGTGGCAGTCGTCGGCTCCACGGCGGCTCATTCCCCGCCCTTGTCGCTAAGAGACAAGGGTACTGGATATGTTGCCGCCGATTGGGGGGGAATCACCATTTATGGTGTATATTTCTCCCCCAACCGGAGCTTGAACGACTTCGAGGTCTTCCTTAACAACTTGGAGGCCTCGATGCGGCGACTGGTGTCTGGGCACGTCCTCGTGCTGGGGGACTTCAACGCAAAGTCCATTGCGTGGGGTTCCCCTGCGACGGACGCCAGGGGCGAAGCCGTCGAGGAGTGGGCGGCGTCGGTGGGCCTCTGTCTGCTGAACAGGGGCTCCACCAACACGTGCGTGCGACAGCAGGGGGGGTCGATAGTGGACCTTTCGTTCGCTACCCCTGCAGTCGCCGCACGAGTAAGGAACTGGTGTGTCCTGGAAGAGGTCGAGACGCTCTCGGATCATTTGTACATCCGATTCGAGCTCTCCCGGTCCCAGGACCCCAGTAGGGGTCACGCGGCGCGGCGCCCTTCCCGCTTCCCGTGGGCTATCGCCAAGCTCGACAGGGACCTACTAGAGGAGGCGGCCATTATTCACTCTTGGCTGTCTCCGCAGGCCCCGACCGAGGAGGTCGACATGGGGGCTGGTCGCTTCTGCCATGCGATTACGCAGATTTGCGATGCGGCCATGCCCCGCGTTCGTGGTTGTCGGCCTCCAAGGAAGGAGGTCTACTGGTGGTCCCAGGAGTTGGCGGACCTCCGTGCGGCCTGTGTACGTGCCCGGAGGTCCCTCACCCGTAGTCGGCGACGTCACCGCGGGGTC